GAATGAAGAGGTTCGAGTTTTAAGATCTACAATAGACTTTTTCTTGCACTCATTTGCTCGTAAGTTGTTAGTATAAGGTAATTGATGTATAGCCGGGGTTGGGAGACAGTAAGAAAAGACACGCGGTAGTTCTCAAGGATCGGATTTGGAAAGATACATTGTATCCTTTAATTTATTAACATGTAATGTTAGTTATTTGCGGAACAGTACCAATTAATATAATATGTACTTTTGTTAGATCTAAGATCACTAACGGCCAGTAACAATAATCTATCTATCGGTTGGCTGGGTTACTAGGTATACAATTTAGACTGGAGAGGTTTATAAGTTCTGTCTCTAGTATTTAAATCTATTGATAGATATGTTATTGTGCGTGGTCGTAAGCCGTTGCACCATCATATGGCAGTCGCCCATTCGTAATTGCTACACTTCGATATTATGTATTATTTTTAGTAATCCAACATCTTGTAGTAAGGGTCGTTTCGATACATTTTTATATGCATTAGCTCGTCAAATTATTAATTATTATACTGACATAGTAATATTGTATATAATCGCATAAGCTAACTTAGCATTTAAGTTGTATTACTTAGGATAAGGTTCTACCCTTTAATAGGGGTTGGAACGGGGTGGTTTTTCCGCCCTCAAAAAAAAAAACGAATCTTTTGTTATTGGTAACATTTACAGTGAAGACTACGCCAGCTACGTATAGTACCCGTTGTTATTTTTTATGACCGTTGTTATGATTGTGCGTAAAGTGTAACATTAACTAGTTCATATAAGATAGATAAGATTTCTATAACGTTTCTATTTGAATCAATGCATGTTGGCGCATTAGTATGGCCATCGACCATAGAGGCGGCGACGCGCGGGACGGGGTATAAAAACCCACGGCCGCGTGAGCGCCGCGCTTCTTCTTCATCGACACACGCCAGCCATTGCATTCGGGCATTTCTTTGTATCGGTGTGAGCCGGTCTTGATTCTGATATATGTAGAAATTAAACCTATTAATTGTGCAGTCTTCTGTTTTAATTTAAAATAACCCGACAGAGCTACGACAATGCATGTGTTGTAATATTTGCTTTAGATGTAAGTTTATCAAGACATTATAACATAATGGGACGGTAGTACATTTTCTATAGTTAAGAACCAAAAAAATATAAAAATCAATAAAAAAAATAAAAAATAAGAAACAACAAAAAAAATAAAAAAGCGTAAAAATAAGTAAAAAAAATTAAAAAATATGAAAATGAGAAAAAAATAATAAAATGTAAAATAAAAAAAAATAAAAAATACAAAATCAGAAAAAAATAAAAAAAATAAAAAATAAAAAAAAATTGAAATATATGAAAATCAGTGAAAAAAAAATAAAAAATATAAAAACGAGTAAAAAAAAATAAAAAATATGAAAGTAATAAAAAAAATAAAAAATATAAAAATTATAAAAAAAATAAAAAATATAAAAATTATAAAAAAATAAAAAATATAAAAATTATAAAAAAAATAAAAAATATAAAAATATAAAAAAAATATCAAAACATTAAAAAAGATTAAAAAAAATATATAAAAAATAAAAAAAATATAAAAAAATGTAGGAATAGAGGCAAACTCGTACATTGCATTTTAATATTAACATGTGTTAGATGTAAGTTATTGTGTAAGCTCTTTGTATGTATTTGTGACGATGTCTTTCTTATATTGATGATTGTAAAAGGCACACTGTGTGACCTTACAGGTGAGGAGATCTTTTTCTATGTTAGTCTAAGTGTGTGTTAAAGGTTAAGGTTTCATATTTTTACTTAGGATTAACTCATTGCGGCGTCTATTTTACACTAATATTAAACAACACAACGACAGTCGTTGTATAACATTTCCATCATATCCATTCTCTTATAATCTTAAGTGTGTATTCGTGTGACTTTGTAGTGTTCTAGAATGTAAGGATCGATCGCATTGGTCATTGTAAAGACCATCATTTGGCATTAATTATTTTTCCACCATCATTATGGCTTTGGTCAACTTGTATGCTACATAATATGACGTCAGTACCCGTTTTCCAGACGTAATGACAGATATCTGACCTGACATAAGGACTTTTTGGAACTCAAATTAGGCTATATCGAAATTGTGATGTGATATCTTTTGAAACGAAGTAAGTTGTGGACCGTCCAAAGATCCATGGAAAACATTATGCAAAGCAAAAATGTGAACCTGTATCTCTAAAATTGGCTTTTGATTGAAAATTTTGTTTCTAAATTGATATGAAATATTGGATTTGATCTTTTTTTATGTTGAAATTCTATGCGATCGTTTTATTTTTTTATATTTTGTGTGTAACGATTTTTATGACCATCGAGTGGTAGCATTTTGGCATTTAATAAACTTTTGGCTTTCTAATTCATGTTTTATTGCGAGACCTACCTTCTCCACCCTGGTATATTCCACATACCATGTCCCAATGACCCCAATGTGTCCTATATACCATTAAAAAAAGTTGCAATTTCAAATATAGAGAAAATAGGAATATACATAATTAATTAAATAAATAACCGACTTCAAAAAACCAAAAACTAATAAAGAATAACAAAACTAAAAAGAAAAAACTAACTAGGTATCATTAGTACCTACTGATAGATTACCCACCCACTGCGGTTAGAAATCGGCGCCATAAGTTCTACACAAAATTATTCATTGAAACCTTAATAGATACCTAATATAATTATAATTTTGTGGTCATTAAGTTATATCATTATGCTATGAGCTTATGGCACCGACTTCTAACCTCAGTGGATGGGTAACCTATCAGTACTAATGATAGTTATTTTTTTCTTTTTAATTTTGTTATGCTTTATTAGTTTTTGGTTTTTGAAGACGGTTTTTTTAACGATGTTTTTATTTTATTATTTTATCATTTTCAATTTAAAGCTACATAGATCCTTTTTGTCACTTATAATCTGCATAGGTGCAAAGTTCTAATCAATACAAATTATACAAGCCAAAACACAAGATAGTTACTGTATACCGTTGAGGAGTTCCCTTAACAATTACACTTCATCATCATCAGACCCTTAATAACAGCCTCACTCTATCTAGGTGTAAAGTCCTCATCAATACAAATTAATCAAGTTCAAACACAAGGTAGTTACTGTATACCGTTGAGGAGTTCCCTTAACAATTACATTTCTTTATCATCAGACCCTTAATGACAATCCCACTCAATCTAGTTGTAAAGTCCTCATCAATACAAATTAATCAAGTCCAAACTCAAGGTAGTTAATATAAACCGCTGAGGAGTTCTCTTGACTGTCTGGCGGCTCCATCATCAGGTCGACTTCAGACCCTTATCAAATTGTAGTGTTTCTAAAATCCTAATTGAAAAACATAATAGACGCATCATGGAAATGGGACGATCTCGGAAGTATACCCTTTCAAAAAAAAACAGTTAGCTAAACATTATACCTCCTCCTTTTTTTAAAGTCGGTAAAAATGAATTTCTGTTGGTTAGTCTCGCTAAAACTCGAGAACGACTGAAGCGATTTGGCTAATTTTGGTCTAGGGAAGGTTTAAAAGGTGACAAACAATTTTTATACAGTATAAAGTCTGCCGGGTCAGCTTACGTATAAATTATACTAATCAGATTATATTATTAATCGAGTTTTGAGTTTGTAAGAAAATGAAAACCTTTAGTTATCCTATCTAGTGAGGTTTTTAAACTAGTCTACTGATTGAGATTAATAAAAGTTTAGTTCTCATGCCTCCCTATTCTTTATTGAACTAATAAAATTTTAAATTAAATAAAATATATAAAAAAAAATTATAAGGTCTCGATTTTATATAATCATAATTTGCACTTCAGTAAGTATCATTAAAATTACTACGAGATCACCGCATAGTAATGCTATTCAGGTTCTAACAGGATCAAACAGGTTCTATCAGCAAACTTAAATTTTGCTTGAAGGATTTAATTTTGAGGAATATATTTTTAAATATTTAATTTACTGACAGAGACAGATTAAAGATAAAATAAAAGATCTAGAAAAAAATTTGTTGGAAGAAAAATAGTAACTGTCGATTAAACTGTCAAACACCAAGCGGTCACCGGTGACCGCGACCTATTGTTCTTTAATTGTGTCTATAAAACCGGTACTCGACGAGTTAATAAAATGGGGTACTTTCCTTAATGAAATATAAAATATTTCGACTCTTCAATACCATTAAGTATTATACAATAATCACAGTTTCATCAAATGATTTTATGTCCAACTTAACTTAAGTATTTTTTTTAAATTAACTCGTCGAGTACCGGTTTTATAGACACAATTAAAGAACAATAGGTCGCGGTCACCGGTGACCGCTTGGTGTTTGACAATTTAAGAAATAAGTAAGTACTTAAGCTGTTCGCGCTAATAAACCGTGACGTCACAATACACAATCTCGTACAAAAGTCATAGAAAACTGTCAAAAAAAAAACGATTGAATTTGACTAGTTGGCAAGTATCCAAATTTTCTTATTAAGAAAATTAAGAAAAATTTATGCTGAAGAACTTAGCTGAAAACTTCCATTACGATTAACAACTGACTTCTAACACTTGTGTTTGTCATAGAACGCTGACTACTGAAAAATATTATTTACGGCAAATAAATTATAATAGGATAGTTAACAGGGTATAGAAATAAAAAATCTAATTATACCGTTACTTTGATAATTAAAAAATATTAGACGCGTATTTTTTATTTTCTCGTATAAAGTTACAATACTTAGATAAAAAGTTTGGGGTTGGGAGTTCAGCGACGCACGATATTTGAAATTTATACATCGTCGAAATTATTTAATTTTGTTTAAAAAGAAAAAATACATGTTTTCTGTTTTAAATTAGTCTACCAAACTGACATTAAAATTAACAGAAAACTACCCTAAGAAGAAAACTATTATGATCTTAAGTACCTTCCTACTACTGTTAAATAATTAAAATTTAATAAATTGAATCAAAACTTAATCATGATAAAATACTCAACAACTATGGAAAAAAGTATAAATATAACTTATGTTCTAAATTCCAGTGAAGCATATTCAGTAGCGTGCCTAGGCGTGACGTCACTAGACTGGGAGCGTCTTGGCATGGCTGCACTAGAAGAACTGGCGTTCGAAATAGCTAGAAAAGCCTTCCAAAGAAGCGAGAACATTATGTTCCTGAACCTTATTGATCATTTACAGGTAAATATTTAATAACTGTTTTTATACAAGGTTTGCGCTATTTCTGTCTACGCTCTCTATTCCGGCACCGAGGGGTAGGGGTGGTCAGAAAGTAATCGAACGTCACGTCACGTGCGTGACGTCCAGTGCCCTGATTGGGTGGTTTATTTCGGAGCCGGCCAATCAGAGCGCCGACGCGTACTCGTTACGGTTACTTTAAACATAAAATAAACTCGTACTAAGGCCTCAAGGCCGTCTTAGACTACGCTGAGGCCGTTTGCACACAATAATTTGGGGGCCTTGTGGTATGTTTCTTATTTTAACGTTGCACCACACTAAACTTCTGTAATGTGGTTGCATTTACAAACATACAAGTTCACATACACATAACACCCAGACTCGAAACAACAATTTGTGGATCATACAATAACTTGTTCCGTGTGAGAATCAAACCCGCTACATGTTGCGGGGCAGCCGCGTAACGTGTAACGGGTGTGTGTCCATCGTAGAAATTGTCGGTCCTTCGGGATGGTGGGATATGTATTAAATACTTTAAATTTTATAATGTTTATTTTTAATTTTTCATTGTCATTCTTTTTACCAACAGGAACGCTTCGAGGCTGGTGAGAAAAGGGCAGTGGTCTTAGGCGAAGTGATGGCCTACCGAGGCCGGTATGCTGATGCAGCGCGCTCTTATCGAAGTGTGGGACGAGATGAGAAGGCACTAAACTTATATGTCGACCTCCGGATGTTTAATAAAGCACAAGTACGTTTTAGTTTTCATATATGTAGAGTATATTACTTGTAAAACTTATGATGTTTGGCAATTGTGCGTTTAAAGTATTATGGACTATTGAAGTCTTTATTTGAGATCTATTTTACGTCAGTCTTTACTTTTTGTTATGCGAGTGACTGGGTGAGTTTCTGGGAGAATTCCAAGCACGTCAGATACTCTGATTGAAATATATTTGGGGGTACGGTCAGCATCAAAAGTTGATGAACACGATTTAGATTTTCAAAATCGTTGTAGACTGTACTGTACCTAAATCGGCGAACATGACAAGCACTTTAAATGCAACACAAAATAATTATTTATTTGTGGCCCGAGTCATGTTAACCGATTTAATTAATACACTGTACAGCGGTTTTGAAAATCTAAATGTGTTCATCGATTTTTGATGCTGATCGTACCAACATGAACGTACTGTTTGGTAAAAGACTTGTCATCCCCTATCTCACTGAGACCAATATAAGTTGTGAAACAACGACATATAGGGGTACTCTTGTACGTTATTAATTCTACATGTTCTGAAAACATAAAACATTACATTAATTAAACATTATCAGATTCTCAGATCCGGTCAATACAATTATTCAATAGCTCCACAAATGAAAATAAAAATATATTGAAAAAACAATATTACCATTTAACTTCTCAGGAATACGTGGGCGAAGGGGAAGGTTTAGCGGCGCTCGCTCGACGCAGAGCAGAGTGGGCTAGACATGTGAACGAGCCCCGGGCGGCCGCTGAGATGTATCTCGCGGCCGGAGACGTAAAACGAGCTGCTGAACTTATGGCGGAAACTGGGAGAAGAGACATGTAAGTAAGAAATAACATGGTATAAGTACTCGTATAATAATAAATCTTTATACTTTATTTTATTGATACTATAAAGCTGAGTTTGTTTTTTTGTTTGAACGCGGCAATCTCCGAAACTGCTGGTCGAAATTGAATAATTCTTCTTGTGTTTTTAAGCCATTTATCGACATCACGCTAAGATCAATAGGAGCCGAGCAGAGCGAAAAAACCAAGGGATAGTAGCTAGCTACTTATTTATTAAAGAACTAGTCTTTAATAAATATAAATGGTGTAGTTTATCGCCACACTCGTCTTCAAATGTGGTCGCCACATGCATATTGAAAGATGGAAGTGGAATAACGAAGGAACAATTGCGACCTCAGTAGCAACACAAAAGTGATTTTACTACATATATATCTTCCTATCTTTATTTCATGTACTGAAGTATAGGTACAAATAAAAACAGCTATTGGGTATATAATCATCTGTTTTATAACAGGTTAATCGAGTTAGCACGTAAACTGGACAAGGGTTCGAGTGGGTCCCTTCGGTTCGTGGCTGAGGCGCTAGTGAAGGCTGGTGAGCCAGCGACTGCCGCTGACGTCTACCAACGACTTGGAGATTATACGTACGTAATACTTCGAGTACCTTCATTTGTATCAATAAAAAGAAATCCGATACCAGTTTGAATGGTAAACGTTTTACGTATTTGTGGAATTTTATAAGGAGTCACTTAATCACTGAAGTTGTCTCTAAAAGTATGTTATTGTACAACTCTGATGGCCATTTTCACCAACCATATCTTGAGAACCTAACGGGTAACCGGGGCTCCGGCTCGATGTGCAGGAGAAGGAACGATAATTTTCCCCCCTTAAAAAATAGGTGGATGAAAACCAAATGTCGGTAACGGTCTATCTTAGCTTAGGGTTCCTTAGTTAGAAGAGATTAGTGAAAATAGGCATGTGACACTAATACATAACAAAAATATGGACACAATAATTACAAGTGTGGGAGAGCCATGCTTTGGCATGAATGGGCCGGCTCGACCGGAGTGATACCACGGCCTCACAGAAGACCGATGTGAAACAACGTTGTGTTGTGTTTCGTCGTGTGAGTGGAGTCACCGGATGCCCAATTACCCCCCCCCCCTCCCTTTTCCCAATCCCTGAATCCCGAACAATCCTCAAATTCCTAATCCCCAAAAGGCCGGTAACGTACTTGTCATGCCTCTGGTGTTCCAGGTCCGTCTGCTCGTTTACCGGCTTATCCCATAAAAAAGTTATTTATATCAATTTTGTGACCATATGACTTGTTCATTTCACAGTAAAGTTGCGCAATTAGCAGTGGCTGCGGGCGAATGGTCGCGAGCGTTCACATTGGCTCGGGAGCACGCTGAGTGTAAACGTGAAGTTTACTTACCCTACGCTCACAGAATGGCGCAGGAGAACAAGTTCGTTGAAGCTCAAAAAGGTGAGATCCTGTTTCTTGTTAGTACTGGTACACACAAAGTGGCAGCTTTCCTATGTACAATCTGTATTCTTTGACTTGATACTTGGTCGTGATGTTCGAATTTAGAAGTTAATTCACATGTAACCTTTACTTATATCGCTTGCACGCCGTATGGCAAGCATAGCCTTTGGATGAAATCGAATTTGTATATGTTTGACGCTTGAACCCAATATATCTTTTGATGTTAAATACTGTACATAAGATGAATGTTAGAAATTTTAACTCGACGAAACTTAAAACACAAGAAGTTTTGTAATTTTACTGTAAATGAATGTTTGTTTATTCCAGCGTACCACATGGCTGGTGAAACAACAACTGCGATGCGTGTGTTCACGATACTAGTCGGTAATGCTGTGGCCGAAGAGCGGTTTTCCGATGCAGGCTATCTTCACCACTTACTGGCTATGCAGTTCTTAGAAACTGCTGCAGCAGCTACTACTGATAAGTAAGTAATCGCACATTCTTACATACATTCGTAACTTCACGCCTGTTTACCACGGGGGAAGGCAGAGACAATGGAAGGCCAATTGCTGCCACACTCATGGCTCACTACCATGTATAAACGTTGGTATCAATACGTTGCATTGCAGCAAGTCGAGCTTTGCTAGATATAATTTTACTCGTTATTAAAGCGTGTAAGGCACCATCACCATTATCGACAATATTACTTGATTCATTTTGTGCAGTAAAAATGTTTTCCTGGCCTTTTCCACTTCTTTTATTTTACTTAGTAGTACTCATGCTTTTAGCATTGATTTAAGGATACTTCTAACATACAATTTATTAATTCAATAAATTTAAAGCTCATTTTAACATATTCAAAATGAGTCGAAATAAACTCGTGTAAGGCGTTGGAAGCCAATTAACATTTTGCAAGATTTTTCCGCGAAAACTTGAATTAGCTACATTTGTTGGATACGCGGAATTATCTATGATTAATTAATTTGCTGTAGGTTTCACGTTTCAATTATACGTGTAATACAATAAAGTAAGTTAATTTTCAAACCACCTTTTGTTATCAATAATGACGTATACGTTTTGATTGCAGAGAACGCTATAGATCGCTGCGTGACTACGCCCACAACGACCGCTTGGCCCGCATCTACCACGCATACGACGTCGTGCACCGCTGCGTTCACGAGCCCTTTTCTCTCAGCCAACCAGAAGCTTTACTGAACGCGGCGCGGTATATCTTGGCGTTATTAGACGTTGAACCACCCACTGGAGTTTCTATGTTGTATCCTTTGTTAATGATATTAATCTACTGGAATCGATAGAAATTCAAATTTATTTATACATGTATAAGGTTGAAAATCTATTGAAGAAGAATCTCTGTCAGTCAAAGTTGTTTAGTATAACAACATTCATTTGGAAATATTTGGATACATAAATAATAGTTTGAAAAGATTAAAAGTCCTGGGGCACTATCCCCCATGCTCTTAATACATATTCCCAAAACATTGGCATTGCCCATGGTGTCCATGGACACAAAATTAATTCATTTACATTTTGTTTACCATGAGGTGATAAAAGAGCGGTATAGTAATAATACTATTATTATAATTACTATTGTTCTATACATATAGGTAAATATTCCTTGACAAATAACGCAGTTGTTTGTATCTTTGCTTATCGAAACAAGCGAAGGCATTGAACGCGAACACGCTGGCTCGTCAAATGTTGGACAAAATATTGGGGTTGCAGATACCTCACAAGTTTCAGGTTTGTATCAATTCAACTAGATACGAAGAATGATTTTTTTTTAATATAAATCGCCGTTTTCATAGTCTCTAGAGGGCGCCACTAAATTGTAAAGACCTGTTCATCTAATTACTGATGCTATAAAACTTTGCATTAACCTATTGTATTGACTAAACACACGTCTTAATAACCTGTCTGTCATTAGATTTGCTTATAAGAGAGACAAAATGTGTCAAAATTCTACCTTGTATAGCCAAATCTTTGCGATCGGTCGCGGCATGAAGTAAGTTTAATCGTGAAAAGCTAATTTAATGAAACATTTCTTATTGTTTTTGTTGTGGCCATGTTCGTTTAGGAGAGTGTAGAGCTACTAATCCTCAAGACTCGCGCTAGTACTGGGGGAGTGTCGCGGGACGACGAGGTGGCGCCGCTGTGTTGGCGTTGTCGACGTCACACGCCCCCGCTGTGTGCCACCCGATGCCCCTTCTGTAGACATGCGCTTGCGCACTCACTCGCTACACATGGTTAGTACTTTATTTACTACTTCTTAAGTTTTTTTATACACCGTGATATTTTAATGGTTGTTTTCCCGCAGCAAAACGATTTCCCTTTAGTAGTACTATCGAATAATGCAAGTTACTTTTTGAAAAAAAATTTTTTTTTTCCTCATCTACTCAAAAAAATAATCATCAACTCGAAAGCATGAGAAACGATAGTTTCTCTTCTAAAATGTGACGTCAAATCAATGTTCATAGTAAAATAATCTCTCGTACTTAGTAATACAGCATAAACTACAATGCACGCGCGCGCGAGCGGATCGCATCACGAAGTCACAACAAACAACAAAGGCAACCACCGCGCTCTCTGTCACTCGCATCGGTTCGCACCGGCTCGCATGGCTTTCATTCGCACCGCCACCAGTCGCACCGCGAACGCCGTCCGCGCAACCGCGTAAGCGCAGTACAATATTGTTGCCGCCAAAATGGATCGCCATTACGTTTTTTCTAACGTGGAGTACGTAGCTATGGTGCAATTGTACGCGAGGGCAAATTATGATTCGCATGCCGCCCGTCGACTTTACGAGGAGCCGCGGCACATGGAGTCACTTCGTCTTCGCGGCTTCATTTTGTGACAGGACACTTAACTGGTGAAACGTACCTACAAATGCTACGTAGTGTTATCCCGGACTTACTAGATGACATTCCGTTAGCAGTGCCCATGGATGGCCTGTATTACCAGCGCGCACGATGGTTGCCCTGCGCATTATCAGCGCGCCGTGCGAGAGCACCTCGACTCGGTGTTTCCCCAGCGCTGGATCGGTCGTGGCGGGCCAGGGCCATGGCCACCACGAAGTCCGGATCTTACTCCACTAGACTTTTATTTGTGGTCTAATCTCAAACGCCTTGCGTATCGGCAAGAATACGAAACTCGCGACGCGTTGAGAAGTGCGATAGTGGACGCTTTTGATGTGATTAGACGTGACAGAGACACATTATTAAAATTGAAAGCCAATCAGTTAAAACGTGCACGATTATGTGTGGAACGCGGTGGCTTACACTTTGAACAATTGCTCCGTTACCGGGAAGTGTAAGTACTTGTACATTTGTAAATAAACAATAAGTTGTGTGATTAAAATCATTGTAAATACGTTGATTCCCATTTTTTAAATACGCCTTAAATACTTTGCCAAATGCAGTAATAAACAAGATACATAATATCTCTTGATTAAATTTTGTTTATGTTTGTGTTTAGTAAGTGTAGTTAAAAAGTATTTACGACGGTCCCAAGCCCGTTAAAGTATGAAGGGAAAATGAAAATCACTTGTTAGTAAATACTGAGTTATCAGCCTTTTGATAAGCGCGAGCGACAATGACAGCGGCCGGTGGCCGGTCGCGGCGGTACTATTGGTTCGCGGTTTCTTTCAAGTTTCGTGTATCACTATCGTAAAACTGCTATTTTTTTATTTAAATTAAAAACAACTTTCTCAATCTATTGTACTACTAAGATAGAATCATTTTACTGTGGGAAAACAACCATTAAAATATCACGGTGTATAATAATAAAGCTTTTCATATTACGGGTTGATCTGTATACTTAGTTTTGTCGCGCAACCAAAACCGATCGAAGGATATACGTCCAAAGTTTTGATGATTTGTATTTTTCGTAATATTGACATTGTACTGTGACGTCATGGTACAACGTTTCATGTTTCAAAGCTATTTGAAGATACAAATGCGTATTTTCAATAATGACATCGTAGTAACATTCTTCATTATTTCTTGTGATTATCTAAAGGATTCTTGCACAATTTCTAAGTTAGACGTTAAAATTGAAAATGTCCCAAATTTTGGATGTTGCGCCATCTAGCGACAAAATGGCTGTTGAGATCATCATCCGTCTACCTTAAGGGGGACTAAATGCCGTGGGCATTCTAACTTTAGGGTGATGCAGAGAAGAGTATACGGTGGGTGCAAAAAGAAACAATGAATTTGAGTGTAAAACAAAATTGAGACGCATATATTCCAAGGATTATACGCATATATAAAAAATATAATAATAAAGAACAGAAAGTCACAGATTCACTCTGCACCACTAGTCAGCTAACAACAACATTGTGATAATAGGTCTTATGACGTAGTAAATTGCCGTTTTATGTGAAAAACAGGCTTTTTTACCTGTATTTTTATTTGTATTAATCACATGCATTCAATGCATCTTTCCCAGGCAGTTTAGTGATGCCATCTTTTAAAGAAATCAGCTGGTCGGGATAAAGTTGTCCTCGTGCTGTTCGTGAAGTTCGCTATAATACTTATTTATTTGTTTTTGTAATCGCGTTTTGTTGTACTTTTTGGGGTTTTATTTTCTCTATCGAGTAATCAATTCCTTTGTTTTTATGCCTTTACTTTTGTAGGTGTTTTAAGTGATTTTTTCTGTTCTCTTCTTTTCTAAATAATAATATCAGTTGAATTGTATAAATATTGCGTTGTGAACTAAACTTACTTTTCTACTGGCGTTACGACAGCAAACTACTTAAACAGACTTCTTGCCTGTATTCGCTTACAATGAACTCCAGACCTGAAAGTTTTCGATTCCCGGGTTGAGCAAATTATTACTAGGATTCTTAAATAAAATTCTAATAGTAGTACGGAGTCTGGAATTGTACCCAATATGGCAATAGGCTCACCCCCTATTACATGGGACTCATAACATAAACAGTGAAAAATGGGTGTTACATTCTACAGTGGTATTAATTACCGTAATATGCACCTCTGCTTAGGTCTGCTGCTCCGGGGATAAAAGGCGTGATGTTATGATATTTTTTAATCTTACAGAAGTCCTGCCTCTAGTCCAATTCGAGCCTGCAGAAGGGATAAGTTTTGAAGAAGCGTTAGACCTGATAGAACGCGCCCCGCTCCCAGAGTCTACCCTCGCAGACAACACGGACTACGGAGCCGAAGTACTGAGAATCGACCACGATGTGGACAGCACAGACCCGTTTCTAGATAAAGTTGATGAGGTAAGTGCAATCCAATATATATTATGATTTCCTTTTGCTTTTGTTTTTAACCGACTTCAAAAAAGAAGGAGGTTTAAAACTTGTGGCACCGACTTCTAATCTATCAGTGGTTGTGTAAGCTATAAGTACGTATGACTAATAATAGTTATTTTTTTCCTTTTTAGTTTTTACTTTTAGTTTGTCTTTAGTTCTTGAATAGTATTTTTATTATTTTCAGGTTTCAAGTTTCTTTGGCCAAGTAGTCGCAAGTGCGACTGCCGGGCAAGGGGTCTCGGGTTCGAATCCCGGGTCAGGCAAAGTATTATTGGGTTTTAAAAAAAATCTCACTAGTTGCACGGAGTCTGGAAATGTGCCCGGTATATGTAATAGGCTCACCCCCTTTTACATGGGACTCATAAATAGTAAAAAGTGGGTGTTACTTCTATGTGCACCTTTGCATACCCCTTCGGGGATAAAAGGCGTGATGTTATGTTATGTTATTTTCAAGCTAGTCAAGCTAGTTGACTGCGAATATTCAATATATGTATTGTTCATAGGACGATGATGTTGGAGTAGTCGTTTGCAGTCGGGGAGCGTTACTGCAACTCAGTCCAGCGAGTGTGATAGTGATCAACCGGCCTCCACTTCGACCTGTCATGTACCGCAACATGTTACCTGAACTACCAGCCACTGCATGTCAGCATTGCCATAAGGTAAGTTGCTTTACACCTTGTGTATTAACCGTTTATTTTTTTTTAAGGTGGGAAAATCATCGAATGACTTCTCCCGTCTGGGTGAGGCGGGATCCCTCCCGCCTCACCCAGACTTGTCAGACTCTTACTGACTAAAAACCACCCCATTCCTTCTCCTGCACGTCGAGCCGGAGCCCCGGTTACCCGTTAGGTTCTCCGCGACGTGTATTAACCGTTTAGACACGACAAACAATATATTTGCCACCACTTCTTCCGGTGGCTGTCGTAAAGATTCGATAAAGAATATATAAAACCGATCCTTTTAAACTGCGATTTAGTTTAGTTAATTATGTTATCAGATTTTTTTTAATTATGTCGTTTTACAGTTAAGACTAAAAACACCACTATATATTGTTCACAGCTGTTCTACTTAGAAGACTTCGAGATCCAGTTGGTGACAAAGGGTCACTGTCCGTTCTGCCGCTATCCTGCTGAGGAACCTAAACCTGATGATGAAGAAACCGAAGACTCCTTGCTAAACGACTCCAGCCCCACCCCAACTAGTCCCAGCAATGATCGCGGTTCCTGGTGATATGTGTTAACATATCACCAGGAACCGCGCCAGTTTTAAAATATAGCTGTTAATCTATATTTTAAAACTCTCACTATGAAATTTTATTGGTTTTCAATTTAGTTAACCAGGATAAGGTTGGAAATCCGTGGAAACCTATATATATACATTTTGGTAGATTGATAGTCTTGTGCCAGAATACTGAAACGTTACTCAATTTTAAGTCGTGCTCAAATATCGTGCCATCTCTGTCATTTTACAAAGAATTTGTAGAGATAGAACTATACTTAAGCACGACTTAAAATTGAGTAGCGTTTCAGTATTCCGACATTAGTGTGTATAAAATATGTATGATTCTTAGTTGTTGTTATGTTGTTGTAAAAATGAAGTCTTATGCTTCATTCACAGTCTGAAAGTCTGATAAGATAAATCAGTAATTAGAGGTTTGTTATACATAATGTCACAATGAGTGCAGTAGACAATTGTTAGTATTTTAGTGTAACTGACAGTTTTCTGGTTTATACACTGAGAAATATGATGTCTAATAATATAAGTTATCCACCTGCTGATTAGTATATGTCCTTGTATATGAATGTATGCGAAGAAGTCGTTTTAGTGCCACCATATTTTATGACGTTTATGGCTCCGTGGTAAGTTAACTCATCGACACACACTGACACTAGTCGAAGATTTGTGTTCATCAGTTTACAGTCGGCTGTTAAAGACTTTAACATGATAATAATTTCATTACTACAATGAAATTATTGAACCTAAATTTCTTTAATGACATACATACATAACCTCACGCCTGACTCCCATGCGGTAGGCATATAATTTCATTAATTATAAGACTACAATATACAATAGATACTCTTGCGCTGTTTCATCTTTTAAGTACGACTGCATGCGTCCGAAAAGACTTACGTTCAATCGCCGCAAATACTATAATCTAATCTGACTAGCCACAGAACATATTATATTACCTTTTTTTTGAGGGGCTGGGAAATCATTTAATGACTTTTCCCGCCTTGAGCGAGGTGAGAAGGAGTGTCAGACTCTTACTGGCTAAAAACCACTCCGTTCCTAACCCGTAAAGTCCTCCGCGGCTCCGAATCGGTATCAGTCCTACTGGGCCCTATCTGTGGTGGTCTGATAGTTCTTTGAGGCGCGCGCGGAACGCGACGCGCCGTACGCTCGCGTCTGGTTCTGGTCGGGCGGACTACCCTTGCTACCATTAGGTCCCTAGCTACCCTTGCTCGCCGTTCGCATACCCGAGCTTATGATAGCCGGAGATTGCCTCGCAATGACCGACGCCCAGAATGTCTATCGTGACGGCGGGTATAGGTCGCCGTCGCCGATCACATCCCTGAGGATATGACGGTGCTCAGCCCACGCTGGGCACACCGCCACCGTATGCTTCACATATTATATAACCTTATAATGGATACCTTACGGTCTTATCCTCCAGTAACCGCGGGGTGTGCTGCTGCAGAAAGCCCCTAACGGCGCAAGTATGGTAATTATTGTTTGGAGTTGACGTTGCTTCTGACAGCCTTCTGTATACATTCCCTTATTAACATCGATGCTCTTTGTAAATAGTTATTTCGGTTTTCTTTTATCTCTTATTTGTTAAGTAGTTTTTAAGTTTTATAGTTTTAAATGTATATATTAGAAATAAGATAACAAAACATCAATTTAAAAAAATACGATTTTGGTTGATTTTTCGTGAATTGAAGATAATTTACGTCTAATAGAATAAATGTATCTTTCTTCACAAATACTATATAAAATTGCATTTCGTGGCACTGAATATTATGTACAAGAAAAGTTATACTTAAATGATCTCTTTGTAACGATAGCATTATTGAATTGAAGACATTATTTTGTGATAAATGCAATGGTCCCAACGACTGTAGAATAAAATAAAATGTAAATATTAACATTCGTTTGTTATTTAGTAGCCCCAAACACTGATTTTACTCAAACGACAGCCTGCCAATCTGTGGTAATGACACCTGTTGTGCATCTTGCGACCAGAGCAGTTTTTTTAATTTTGTAAGGAATGCCATATGTCGTGCCTGTTTTTATAGCCTGAGGTACCTAGTGTTTTGTAGTACTCAATATGTCTCCTTCGAGAAAATTATAGCATTCAGAATTGTTGACTTGAACTACGGGGTACAGTAAGTGTGTATAAAAAGTTAGCAAATGACAATAAGAAGCAATTGCTTTGTTCTCTTCGAATTTCTTAACAATAGTTTCGATACGAGTTAATAACAATAAGGTACTGTGAATATGATTCTGTTATTCCTCAACGACACTGGTAAAGGTGTATTAGTAATTATATACCCATTTTTGCCAATTAACCCTGTTTTAATGAGAGCAACCCATCACAATGGATTTTATGTAAAGATAGCAAATACAGTTCTTGGAGAGGTCGTTGCCCCTAAAAATTATATATTACTAATGAAACCAACAATAGCGGCGCAATATTTGTGTAGATTCATTTTAATCAAATCGTAGCAAAAATCCAGTCATGTTAATGCGGGAAATGCAACCTAGATGGCGCTCAGAGTCACATTTTCATATTACTTCGTCTGATGAATTACTTTTTAAATTTATAGATGTGTGTACAAGTAGTTTCAACCTTTTCCTTTACAACGGAAAGGTATAATTCTGCTTGAGAAAATAAAATATGATTCGAAACTATGAAGTTTTACGTGTGGTAACAGCAATTGCTGAGCTCGGGTACCTACCAACTGACCCTCGATCACTCTGGTAGGAAACAAAGTAATAGAAATAGAAGTATAGGTAAATAGAATGTAGGCTGCTATCCTGAAAAATAGTTATATGAAAAAATAGGTACTAGGGTATGTACTTATTAAGTTGAAATCTCTTTGGCTTTTCTTTGGTCGCTGACTAAGAAGGTGTTTTTGACCAGAACTTGCTTCCCGCTTCTGTCTACGAGGTAGGTTTGGATTTTAAAAAGACTACGGCGCGACTCGCATCCTTTGCTGTGACTACCTTGGTATGTTATATTGGTTATGACATCTCTGATACTGCTACAGGAACGAGTTTATTATATTAATATGTGCCTAATTGAATATTTAAAATAATAATATACATATATACTTGCAATACAAATTATGTAACTGCAACTGGCTACATAAAGCACTTGCGATGTCCGTGGTGAGCGGCGCCCGTTTACGCAGCCTGCGGGCAGACCCAGAGGCATGGTGTTGTGTTACAAGATATCAGTATCTGTGTAGTTAACAAACCGATATAATGGCAACATATTTGGGTACTAACTCCTGCCTGAGCAAAATAAATGTAAACTACAACTGAACACACTGTCAATGCACACATGCGGGCACCGCTTCCCGTCCACTCTACCTTCGTAAATGCTGTCATACAAAAATGTATCGATTCAAAGTTTTAAAACGCGCCGCTCCTCGCCGAGTTCATAAATGAGGTCTACGATGTTGTGGTAGACAAAACCTCATATCTACAATTCCTGTTAAATTTCAGATTTATTGGGGCGGCGTAACTGTTTAAAATAAGTACATGCATTTTATATTTTTAATTTTGTATTCGACAGCGGGCTGTTTATGAAACTAATACCTATGAAATTATTACCGAGAAGCAGTCAGGAGTCAATATAAATGATAATCGAATGATTGACAACATTGGTAAATACATAATTAGTTAGGAAATAGGTTACCTTCAAACCTTCCAAATTCATTTGGTTCTAGGAAATCCCAATTTAGCATCGTGTGCTCTTTTGCCATACCTACTTAAGTAGGTAAGTAGCTCCACCTACTTCAGGTAAAGTACCTACCTAGGTATCTAGTATAACTAAAAATACTTCTTTGAACTATCGAGACTTCGAGACACGTCTGAGAGTTTCTTAAGTTCGCCTTTAATGGTAAGTAGGTCGTAAGATATGTAGCAGAATATTAAGATATTATATTTTATTTTTGGCTATTTATGTTTCACACATGATCATAGTTACTGTTCCATTTTTGTAGAGGTATAATATGTTGCCAAATCTTCATAGTACTACTAGGTACCTCCTATTGATAATTGCGAAAAACGGGGGGTATCTCTCTTGTAGTTGAGTAGTAACCCCTGGTATGCGAGACACAATGTGTTTTCTATTATGTCTCACATGCCCACAGATGAGAGGTTAAGCCAAGGATACATTAGGGTACAAATGTCCTGCGACACGTGTTGCCAGCGACGTTGGGTGAAGTAGTGTGATGTTGCCGGACTTTGGTCGTAATGTCTGGCAACGTCAATGTCGCTGTGGACATATGTCGCGCGTTATAATAAGCCGCGTTTGTCGCCATATAATAAGTTCGTCGTTTGATATGTCGCCGATACATGTCGTGCGACATTTGACCCCGTTTTTTTTTCATTTTTTTAAGGGGTGAAAATCATCGAATGTCTGCTCCCGCTTGGGTGAGGCGGGAGGGAGTGTCAGACTCTTACTGACTAAAAACTAATGCGTTCATACTCCTGCAATTTAAGCCGGAGCCCCGGTAACCCGTTGGGTTCTCCGCGGCTCCGTATCGCCATCAGCCCTATTGGGCCCCATCCTTGTCTTCTTGTCTTTAGCATATCTAATCTGTGGTATAGGTAATAGTAGGTAAATTAATTATTTTTCATTACTACTGTAATACACATCATATTCAAATCGTCACTTACTTATAAATGTGCTGTGCCTACTTAGAATGCTCGTCGTACTTAGAATGCTTAGTTAAGTCATTGGGGACTTTAGTTGTTCTAACAGTTTCACCGAGTCCACTACTGACATATTTCCAATTCAAGCATATACAAGGACTATTGCACAATGCGATACTAATAGAAGCGAAGTCGTAATTATACTCATACTCATTTATCTACTCTATTAACAAAACAAAAGTGCTTAATATCGGTTGAATCTGCTCGTATAGAAACTTGGCTGTTTTCATTTTATAAGAGGGTTCAAAGTACAAAAGATCAAATTAGTATCTTGTTAAGTA